TCACTAAGAACAAACCCAATCAACCTATAACAAGTCTCCAAAATCTTAAAATGATTAGGACAAATCATGAACTGAAACTACAAAATTATATACAGGTGATCAGACCAGTTGGCAATGACCCAGACTATGGTGAAATATTATTAGGAACCAAGCCAAGTTATCGTGTTGGGGGAAAGGGGAGGAACCCATAGATCTAGATGAAGAAATTAAACTACCACACGACGCCTACATTCATGCCTGAGGGTTGGCGACCACAGCCCACCATTCCAAACATGTTTCGATGGGAGGGGGGAAGAAAGAGGTGTTTACTAATCATACTAAATTTTGCATCACTTTTAGATCCTTTGTAATTCATGGCTTCTTGTATTCCTCTAAACAGCCCATTTCTTCATTTTCTTTATTATATCTTCCTCTATAATTAATCTTGTTTATCTCTTTGGTATAATTAATTATTTACTGGATTATAGATGGTTTTTGGCTTACCACAACACCTCTTATGACGTAATGTAAAGACTTAGAATATGTTTGTTTGTTTTTCTTTTACACGTCGAAGTATAATTATTTTCGGATTATTTAAGTATCTTCATTATTCTATCATTAATGTCTGACTATTTTTAGTTTTTTTTGTTGTATCATTATATCACAAAATCATACAACAACCATAACCGACCAACAACCATAACCGACCAACAACCATAACCGACCAACAACCATAACCGACCAACAACCATATACTGTATACGCCAGAACAATGAAAACATCAACCACACAGACACACAAGACCAACCATCAGTAATACACACACCATAACCCTCAACCATACACGACACACACACCTACACTCTAGCCACACACCACACACACACTCTAGCCAATGCTGTGGGTGTTCTTTCGGCTCCTGACCACTTTTGAGTGTGTCTTAAGCCTGGGGTGGTGGCTGTAGGGGCGAGACTCTACACAATAACGCTACAAGTCAACATTTCTCTCGGACATACTGTGTGAAACTCTCCTATGTTGAAGAAAAACTCCCAGACCCAACCAGTATATTGTTGAGGAGGGGATATGAGATTTTGTATATTATCATTATTATTATTGTTATTATTATTATTATTATTATTATTATTATTATTATTGTTATTATTATTATTATTATTATTATTATTATTATTATTATTATTATTATTATTATTATTATTATTATTGTTATTATTATTATTGTTATTGGTGTTGTTGAGGGTGGGGGGGAGGGGATGAGTGAAGTAAAGGGGGGTAGGGATATAGAGAATCAGTGAGAGAATGGGTGAGTAAGGGAAGGAGGGAGTACTTCACTACACCCTCAAGAGTCTCAAACAACTGTAGGACTTTTTTAAGTAGTGACCGCCAAACACCAAGAGCCTTTGACATTTACCTTCAGTCCACCTGGGAATATTTTAGACGATGAATGAGGGTAAAAGTATCAAGGATCACCTGAAGGATCTCCACGCCCTCAGCACTGTAGAGATTTACACGCTGTAAGCCCAAAAGGGTGGTGGGGTTTTTTCCTTCCCACGAGAGCTGGAAGGGGATTCTCAGAGACTAGGAGTGACAGTTTCCGATGCGGCTCTTTTCCTGAACGTCTCAAGGGCGTGAAGTCTTTTCTTACCTAAATTGAAAGTGAGGAAGGCAAAACCTCCAGTGAAAAGCCGTCTTTACGGGGGCATGTTTCCTCGACAAACTCCTTCGCTTGAGGTGTTACAACATCGTGGCAGGAAGATGCATCTTAGCGCTTGTTGCCTTGTTAAAACAGAGAGAGTGAAAACAAGTTAATCTTATATTTCTCTTCGGTGTCAGTGATGGTTGTTGATTTGACTTGTGGAATGAGAATGTTTTTGACTATTGATTTTTGGGGAAGATTCGATAACATTTACTTTCTACGTTTAGGAAGATAAGGCGTGTCCTTCATTACAGATAAAGTTAGTGTAAGAAAATAGCATATGTACTGTATGTATGTATGGATGTATGTATGTATGTAAGTATGTATGTCTTTGACCCTTACCACGCAGGGCAATAGTCTTATCTTTGGTTGATACTGTAATCATCAAACTACCTCGATAATGACTGTTGTGTGTGTGTGTGTGTGTCAGGCAGTAGGTAGAGGTGTGGTAGGCTAAAAGTCCTCGTCCCTCTCTCACTAGTACACGAGACACGGCCAAGAGCAGACCTACTAGGGGTAAGTGGACTCCTGTTAGAAGAATTTTGTTATTCTGTGACGCCTTGTGAAGTATGTTCCGGTAATATTAATGTTTGATGTAACACTCCTTATGTATTGTATTTTATGTTACTTTTTATTGTTAAGATTATTATTCGTGTCATAGAGTTGTTCATTTTTTTTCTTTTGTATTCACTGAAGTTCACCATTTACCGAGAGACCTGATTCATAGTTGTCCAAGATGTATCAAGTTGGTTAATTGTATCGTTCAACATCCACTATAATCAAGGAGTTAATTGGTGGTTAATGGCGTAATATTAAAGTAATTTGACTTCAGTTTAGAATACACTATCATATTTAGGTGAGCTATACGATTTTCTAGTAATTTAAAGCAGATTATTACCTGACGTCACTCTGTCACTCCAGAGCTCCACCTTTGTTTATGGGAGTTAGGCGTAAGTGACCCTCCACGCCCCTCCCCCTGCCCCTCCCTCCCTCCTCCCTCCCTCCCTCGTCCTATATCTACATTTCTGTCTTCATCCCCCCTCTCCCCTTCACCTCACCCACGTCACCTCTTTCCCCCACAAAATCCACACATCCCATTTCCTCATTCCCCACAACACTCCTTCTCTCTCTTCTCACTCTCCTTCCCTTCTGCCGCCTCCCATCAGAGCATCTCACTACCTCAACGCCCTCCCTCCCTCCCTCCCTCCACCTGTTCCTCGTCAGCTCAACCAATTACTACAGAAGCCGTGATTAATCTCCTCATAATGAAGGTTCTCTCTCACCCTCATCCACACCCTAACCCACACCACCCACTACCCACACCCATACCCTCATTATAACAAGTCAAGATCCTCATTATACTCAGCGCCGTGATCAGCTCTGAGTTAACGAAGGAATTTTAACTTTTTTCAATTAGTGAGTTCAACATTTTTTTCCTCTAATGTATTCTGATTATTCTTGTGGGGTTTTTTTTCTTGTTTGTATTTACTGTCTTTGTTCTTCCTCGTGTCGTTGTTTTTTGTTGTAAATCCGTTTGTAGGGGTTGATTTTTATATACTGAAATCGGCTTTACTTTAAAAACAATTTACTTATGTTTGTGTGTGTGTGTGTGTGTGTGTGTGTGTGTGTGTGTGTGTGTGTGTGTGTGTGTGTGTGTGTGTGTGTGTGTGTGTGTGTGTGTGTGTGTGTGTGTGTGTGTGTGTGTGTGTGTGTGTGTGTGTGTGTGTGTGTGTGTGTGTGTGTGTGTGTGTGTGTGTGTGCGTGTGTGTGTGTGTGTGTGTGTGTGTGTGTGTGTGTGTGTGTGTGTGTGTGTGTGTGTGTGTGTGTGTGTGTGTGTGTGTGTGTGTATTCCTCTGTTATGCATATATTAAACGTATTTACCTGTTTTAAATAACCCAGTAATTGTCTTGGTTCATTTCACCATCTCCGTACCTGAAGAATTAAGAATCTTTCACCTGGACCTTTAGAATCATCGTCTTGAAGCTTATCAGAGACATCTTAACCCCCCCCCCGGAACTGATTATTAGTACGAGGTCCCTGGAGTGCTGCTCTCTCTTATCTAGCTGTCGTCTGCCAAAAGGCCCATTCGTGGCTTGCCTCTCTCTCTCTCTCTCGCTCTCTCTCTCTCTCTCTCAAGGTAGCAACCCATACCCCTCCTCCCCGCCAATCAAGGACGTATTGATAAGTCATGAATAACCTCAAGATGACCGGCATTCAGTTTATTGATACGTGATGAACGACCTTAATGAAGGGCCGTGACTCCCTTTGTGTTCACTTGACAACTCGTGGCAATGTTGGGGAAAGTACCGCGAACAATACTGATGATTAATTTTTTTTTTTATGTTTTTATGAAAGACGATGCCTTGATTCTACCAAACCACAAGTAACCTAACCTAACCTAGCTCCTAACTCTAACCCAGTAACCTAACCTTCCTTCCCTCCGTTCCTTGCCCACATAAACAACCACCGATTCTCATTTCTGCCATTGGTCTATTGGTTTTGGCTGTGGTGTGTTACCTGTTGTAGTATCTAATATATTTTTGTTAACCTGGGATGTATTACTGTGTTGAGATGTGTTTGTTGAAGTGTGTGTGTGTGTGTGTGTGTTTGACTGAGTGTGTGTGTGTGTGTGTGTGTTTGTTGAAGTGTGTATTGTGTGTGTGTGTTTGTCTGAATGTTTGTGTGTTTATTACTCTCTAAATCCCAGACACTTCGATATATTTTACCGTTCAATTATTTTCAGTTCACCCCAGTTTATTCAGTCAGTCAGTCAGTCTGTCAATCAGTCAGTCAGTCAGTCAGTCAGTCAGTCTAGTAAAACAAATCTATTAATAAGTCTAGTTGTCTATCTGTGTGTCGATTAGTCTGATTCACCTCCCTGACTCTCCTCCCTTGGATACCTGTTGCTCTTGGTTCAGGTCCGCCAGCCAGAGGTATAGGTCAAGGTCTCGTCTGCTCACTGATGAAAGCTTACTACACTGCCTCCCACACACTCTCTTCGACATATTGCCCTCACACTTTCACACTTATACGTCGTTTAAGTTTATTTAAGTGTGTAAGTTAGCTCAATACCTGACCTACTTAACTTTGGGGGAGCGCCTATTTATTGACAGGTTAATGAGGATTTTTTTTTTACCTGTTTCATAAAAAAAATTTTATTGTCTTTTAATATCATTCCTTCACTTGGTGTATCGATGATTATATAGAAATGATCAATATCTTTAGAATGTTTGGGATAGATGAATAGATGTTATGAATAGATCTTAGAGTGTTAGATAGACTGTGATGTCCGTTTACCCCACTGCAGAGGATGCGCTGCCGGGCGTACGAGCGAGCACCTGGACAACGTGACGCAGACCATCGAGATGCTGTTGGATGGCTACGATATAAGACTTAGACCAAACTTCGGAGGTGAGTACCCTTGGCCATCCCTCTACCGTAACCCACTTTTTTTTTTTTTTGGCCACCCTTTCTACCAGCTGGTCTTGGCCACCTCACACTAGCTGTTTTCACCCACCCTTCCATTAGCTGTTCTTGGCCACCCTCGCACTAGCTGTTCTTGGCCACCCCACCTCTTACTAGCTGTTCTTGGCCACCCCACCTTCCCACTAGCTACTCTTGGCCAAGTTGATCCATTATCAATTATTTATCCATTTATCCACGTATGTAATTTTTGGTCTAATATCCAGTGCATTAGTCTTCCGATTTCGCAACGTTATACTATGCTATGTGATATTGGATCGTTTTGACAATAAGGCTGAAATACCGATAACTAATCACACGTTTCATTTTTTTGCCCCAAATCGGTAATGTTCCGATATTCTCTGCCCATAGCGTTTAATATATAAGTGTTTTAGGAAAGAGGGAAAGGAAATGCTAGTTAGTGAAGAAGGAAGGTATGAGGAATAAGGGGGATAAAGTAAAGAAGTAGAGAGAGAAAAGAAGAAAGGAGGGGAAGAATGGAATGAATTGTCTTTAGTTCCTTTATGTCTCCTTTTATTCTCCTATTCTCGTTTATTTTTGTCCTTCAAGATAACAAGAACAACTTTTCACTCAGTTTAATATCCCTTTACATCTTCAGGGGAAGTTCTTGATTAGATGAAGATTACGTCAGATTATTTCTTCCTTCAGAGATTTTTATCGAACTTAAGTTGGTGTATTATAGAGAAGTTATTATGGAAGATAATTTGCATGTCAGTATCATTTACATATTATATAATCTACATAGATATCATTTACGTGTTTATATATATAATGACATATAATGACATAGAAAGACGAAGAGGATTATGTTAATACCTTGGTTAATCTCTACGAAAGTACACACACACACACACACACACACACACACACACACACACACACACACACACACACACACGCACACACTGATCCAGACCTAAACACACACGCCTCCATCCATACACACATAACAGTACACACAGCCTTCAAAGTCAATCCGAAATGGTAAACAAAATGCCTCTGGCTTGAGTTAACATCACGTACTGTATTCTTCATCACAGACTGCCATCTTTTATGTATTCTGAGCACACAAAGGACTCTCTCACCCTCGCTAATGACGGAGGTTGTATTATAAAGGTATAGGAGTGTCGGCCCTATATGAAGGCAGGTTCAGATGGGTTGACAGGCTCTTGTCACTGCCCTATTTTCAGCTAACTCAGGTTAATTAGGCTACGAAATTGAGTTAGTCGGGTATTGGAGTTGTGTTGCTGTGTTGGGTGGCAGTTGTGGCAACCCGGTAGCTGTTGGTGTGTTCCATAGAAGCTAACACATGTTGTAGTGTTCTATGGTGTTGTCTGCACTCATGTGAAATATACGTGACGTGTTATTAAATATGTAAATAGCGAATTATAAATAAATATTCACGTTATTAGTATATTAATAGCTAACTAGCGCTCGCTCCCCGTGCTTTGGGATCGATAATTCTATCCTCGGTCACTCCCGGTCCACCCAGCTGCAAATGGGCCCCTAACTTTAGATGTGAAGGCTATCCAGTGTGCCGGTTGAGCGCCCTGTTCCTCGCTAATGTCTATACTCTACAGGACTACATTTTCACTTCACTTTGGGAGGATAAATCATAGGACAATATTCAGTAAGCCGATTCCGCTGTCAAGATCCACTCTGTGACAGATTCCTATTTTGTAGAGAAACCAATATGTTATATGTCCGGGGTTCTCTTATTTTCTTTCTTAACTCCATCTTCTACCACCTCTCTCCTCCTCCTCCTTCCACCTCATTTTCTTCCTTCTCCCACCCATCTCCTCTCCTCCTCCCTTCTCTTTCTCCCACCTCCTTCTCCTCTTTCTCCTCCTCCTCCTCCTCCCTCTCTTTCTCTAACCTCCTCTTCCTCCTTCTCTTCCCCCCACCTTCTCCTTCTATCTCCTTTCCCCATCTCTTCCTTCTTGCATCTCCTCTGTCTCCCTCCCTACCTCCCTTCTTCCCCCATTCTCCCGTTAACACACCCTCCCTCGGTTGATGAAAATATGTCCAATAGTAAAGTAGTTTTATCCACCTTAGAAGTTACGAAAAATCAAGAGGCCAAGAGTTTTACCTGCGTATTAATTGGCCAGTGAGTTTTCCAGGTAAGTTTTGAGAGCCTAAGGAGGTGAGGTGGGGTTTTTTTTGAGGGAGGGGGGTGGGGGGTGGCCATCAGTTGTGAGTTGTTCTGGACTTTTTTTAGATTTATGTTTCTTTATATATATTTTATATCTGACTGTGAGGTATGTAGTTCAGTAACGAGAACGACCGAGTAACGACATTTAAAGAGAGAATCCAAATAGAAATATGTTAGCTCTCTCTCTCTCTTGCAATTTAATATCTGTTGTTTTGAGTATAAAGTGACGTAGATTCCGTGATGAAGGACCTTGTTTGGTGACGATCATACGAATATAAATAAACACCTTCGAGGGAGTTGGTGTTTGTTCTTGTTTTTACCTCGTCTGCATAAATTAATCCAACCTTGTTTTAAAAATATTCAGATTCCTCGCTTACACAATATTTTTACTGTAATAAACTCCCAATCTCAATTATTCTCTTTCTTTACGTCTATTTTCTTATTATTTCCTGTGTATAAGTTCTAAGTCATGATGTCTATTTTACTCAAAACGAATCTTGAAGAATCTACCACTTTATGCAAATTAGTTAATATCGTTTTATTTTGATTATCATAATAAGGATTCTTTTTACCTATGTATTTTTTTTAAGCCTTTAAGTACGTTGAATTCTTCCCAACTTGATGGACACTTATCACAATGTCTGGTTCGTCACTATAGTAGAACTAAATTAAATTAAACCGATAAACTGCACTGTAATATAACGAGACTTTATTGCAACACTACACGTCAATCACCCTTTTGGACGATTGCAGGAGGTTGCAGGATTAGGAATCACTCGCCATATCTTCATTTTTTACACCTCTAGTCCAGTCTACTTTGAGTTCACTACCTCGCCACCAATAAGAATTCTAAGAGGGCGCACTGTGTCTTGGTACCCACGGGAAGGAGGCAGTGGTAGGAATAGAGTCTGTTGAAGAAGGCATTGGTGATGTAACGATGTTTGGCTATAATACCCACCTATTTATGGATACAGTCTCTCTCTCTCTCTCTCTCTCTCTCTCTCTCTCTCTCTCTCTCTCTCTCTCTCTCTCTCTCTCTCTCTCTCTCTCTCTCTCTCTCTCTCTCTGTCTTTAAACTTCCTCCATTGTGTGTAAACTTCTATCTCTCCCTCTCAATCCTTTTCACAGGCTCCTAACTTTCGTAAAAGTGTCCCTCTCTCAGCCTCAGTACGAGTCCAAAGAGCTTACAATCTCCTCACCAACTTCGCGTTAACTATTTACACTTACCGAGATTCACAAACCATCAAGGAGGAGAAGACAGTTTGTGGAGTTAGATGAACACTTTAAAAGCCCAGCAGTAGGGTGTTTCTTGCGGCCTTGAATTAATATCTGTTTTGACTTTTTTTTTTTTTAAACATTGTCTCCTGTTTCGAGGTTATCAGTGATATATTTTGTTGTCTTGGTTATATTATGGATTGCTATTGGTCGCTGATGATATACATTGATGTTTGTGTTGATATCTTATAATTGAGTTTAATTTTTCTGTCTGTCAGGGGCTTTTTTCGTTTCTCCTACTCTTGTTGTCGTCAAATCTCTCTCTCTCTCTCTCTCTCTCTCTCTCTCTCTCTAAAGGTAAACATGATGCAAAAGTCAGCCTGATGAGGAGTCTTGTCAACGGTCCCTCATTACATATGAAAGGAAACGGCAGACCTGATAATCAATGAAGTTGCCTGGACCAAAAATGACGATCAGATCATTTTTGGGATTCCTCTTCCAGTCCTTCCCCTTCTCTTACTTCCAGGGTTTTTTTTTATCTCCTCCTCTTTCTCTCTTTCCTCCTTCTTATCGTCTTCCTCTTTATCCTCTTTCTTCTTCTTCTTCTTCTTCTTCTCCTCTCTCTTTCTTCTGCTTCTCTTCCTCTTTCATTTGCCTCTTCCTCTACTATTTCCTTCTACTACTCTTCCTCTCTCTCTCTCTCTTTCTTCTCCTTTTCTTTTCTAATCCTTTTCTTTTCTCTGTTTCTTCATCACTCTCAACATCTCCATCCCCCTTGCGTACACCTTTAACCCTCCTTCCTTCCTCCTTTCCTCCTCTCCCTCATCCGATTTCGACCTTACTTAGGCAGTTTGATTCAAGCTCTTGAGTATCACGAACAATGATGAAACACTGTACCACTGAACTGCTGAACTATTGAACGACTGAACTGCTGAAAGACTGAACTACTGAACGACTGAACTGCTGAACTACTGAACGACCGAACTGCTGAATTACTGAACTGCTGAACAACTAAAGTATTGAACTACTGAACTGCTGAACTATTGAACGACCGAACTGCTGAACTGCTGAACAATATAATACTAAACCTCTAAACTATTTAAATACTGAATTACGGAAGCTGCTGAACGACTGAACTGCTAAAATTTCTGATTAATCTAAACTAGTGATTTACCGAAGTGATTCCTAAACTAAACTCACAAAGAACAAAACCACAGAAATTCTCATCACATTACACACCTGTTGAAGATGCGGAACTTCCAAACTACCAAACGATTGAATTACCCTCATTACGTAGTTATCCAGTCTCCATCTGCTTGTTGCGGTACAGGTGGAAGGGTAGTTGGTAATAGACGACCCAATTATATGTGGGAATGAGGTCGTTTCGTAGGTGTTAGTTTTTTTCCCTATTTATTCCAGGACGTAAACAACATAGAGCTGGAATTACGAGCTTTGGTGATGCAAATTGAAGTGAGGGATAATTTCTACCCATGTTAATTGCCTCAGTGTTTATCATCTTGTTGTTGACTTCGAGGTGTTATTTTTTTTTCTTCTCAAAGAC